GTGGGATTTGAACCCTAGACCTGCTACTTGGAGAGGGTGACAACTTGACCACTTCACTAAGCCGCCACACCTCTTTTACTAAATATTTTTTCTTTTTCAGTTTTAATAATAGTGGGTACTATTTTTCTTTTTTTGTCGTATAGTTAGATTATTTAATAAAATATGATTATATTCTTCATCATCATTTATTCCATATCCTTCTTTATTTTCTTTAAGTTGATTCTCAACTTCTTGTCCAAATCTTTCAATACGATGTTCTTCTAAATCTGCTTCTAATTGTGCTTCTAGTTCACTTAATTTTTCTTCTTTGAATTCCTCTAATTCTTGGTATATTGTTTCAGGTACATACATAGTATATGTTTGTCCTCTAAAAGTATCATGTACTGGTCTGTAGGTTGAGGATTGTCCTTCATTATACACATTATCATAATATGGTATCTCTATTTCTTCTATTTTTTCATTAGAAATTTGGTCTGTATGTTTTAAGCTAAGACTTGGGCTTTTATATCTTTGTTGTTTTCTTTCATAAGGATCTGGTGATGGTGTATAACCTCTTTCATTTCTTTTTCAATTAAGTGTATTGTTATTATTTTTAATAGTAGGTATGGGTGCTCTACTTAAGGTATGTTGACTTAATGGTGAAGGTGTTGTTGGTCTAGATGTAAATTTATTTTTAATTCCTTGTCCTACGTCTTCTAAGAATCTTGTTACTTTTGGTAATACTCCTTGAGGAATGTCTTCATTCCTTCTAGAAGCTTGTGATAATCTTTCATTTAAGAATACGTCGTCTGTGGGTGAATGTGGTATTTTTATTCCAATTTGTTTATTTTCTTTAACAAATTGTTTATCTCTAGGCACATCATATTGTTCGTATGGTTTGTAAGTACTTCTTCCTTCTTTTTTCTTGCATTGATGACATCTCCATAAATTCTTCCTTAAATTTCTGTATCATCATGTATATCTCCTACTTTTTCTAATTGAGATTCTAAAAATTCTTTATGTTTTTCATATAATGCCTGTTTTGTAGGTTCATCTTTACAGTGCGCTTGTGCTGTTATTAATGCAGTTACTGCTGCTTGTTGTTCAATGAGTCCCATATCATTGAATTCTTCAGCGGTTATACCTAATATCCTGTGAATATCTCTATTATATTCTTCTTGAAGTTCTTTTATATCTTCTCGATGTTTCCATACTGTTGCATCATTTGTTTCATTTAATGTTGATAATACTTCATATAGATATTCTCTTCGTGTTTCTACAGGTTTGTCAGTATCTTCAATTTTCGTTACTTTTTGTATTGATTCAAGATATTCTTCTATTTCTTTCTCAGTTAAACCTTGAGTATAACTGTAAGTTTTATTTATTTGTTCCAATCTCCAATTGAGATCTTAAATTGTTTGTTCAATTTTTGTATCTTTAGCTATCTCTCCATCAAGTATAGCCTTATCTAGTCTGTTTAGCTTTTGTTTAATAATTTGGCACATTTTTCGTGATTGATCTTTAGGAAGATCTTCTTCTTTCTTTTTTCCTTTCTTTGAAGGTAGTACCTTATTTAAGGTTTCTTCTACTTCCCTATATATTTGATTTAAGTGTTTATTATTCAAATTCTTCTGTCCTTTATCTGCAGGTTGTTCATTATTTGCCATAAAAATTGTTCTTGCTAATCTATCTGCTAAGTCAGATACGTCTGGGTCTTCAAATTGAAATTCTAAGAGTATGTATATTCCTGATCCTTGGGATCCTGTGATTTCACTTTGTTCTTCATCCTTTTCTTTAGTCCACTCTTGAACATTATGATCTTTTTCTGTTATAATATCATTTGCATATTCTCGTAATTTCATTACTTCATGTATTTGTGCAATTTGATCTGATAATTCTATGTTTGGTGTTTCTAGTACTATAGCACAGACCTCGTTGTGCTTTGCTATTATCTGAAATACATCTTGTGTAATCATTGCGTTTGGATCTAATATGTGTGTATGCTTGTCTATTCCTATTCCAAATATCGCTTCCCAGGGGTTGTTATTCATGTGTATTAATTGTATTTCTTTTCTATACATGTAAAGTACATTTTTGTATTCATTTACATGTTTTCCATTTCCTGCTGCATAGAAGTGTTGTGTGTCGAAGCACATTGCTATTCTTCTTTTTTCTTTATTTTTATCTTTATACCACAATCTTTGATCTATACTATTTAGGATATCCATGAGGTCAGCCATTGTTGATCCATAGCATTTGGTACTTGCGCTATTTTCTAATAATAGTCCAATCCTTAGATTGTTTTTCAACTATCTTCCTTAATATATAATTGATATTTTCTATTATATCTTCTCGATCGCGATCAGTTTTTGTTCCTAAATGTAGTACACTCCATCGTATATTCATTTTATCAGCACATTTTAATTCTTGAATTATCCTTATTATTTTCCAGTTTACCTGTTTATTTCCATTATAATATGTAAATAGCTTGTCATTTACATATAATCCCATGTTGTGGTGTAAAACTATTTTTAAATTAATGTTTTTATTTCCTTCTATTATGTTCATATCTTCCTGTTCATCAGGTGTTCCTTCTTTTACTGAATCCAAATATTTTAAAAATATTTGTACTATGTTAGATTGGGTTATGATAGTAGTTTTTACTATTTCATCCCACCGAGCGTCAGTTGTTACTCCAATTAATTTGACTCTATTTTTGTTTTCTTTAACAAGTTCTCTAAGCTTTTTGACTTGTTTGGGGAATGACTCTGGTAAGAGATGTGTTATAAATCTCTTATATTTCCTTGGGTTATATTGTTTGTCTACCCATTTCTCAGTTGACTCATTTTGTTTTATATTTTCTTTTGAAAATTCTTGTTTAGGTTTTCTCTCTAGAGGTGGTTTTGCTTTCTTCTTCTTTGAGATATTAGTTCCAACGATTTTTTCCAATATCATATTGTTATTGACGTGTAATTGGTTGTTAGGGGTTCGACTTGTTTTGTTTTCAGTAAGTGTTGTTTTATCCAACACGTTGTTTGGGGATAGATTTTTACTATCCACATTGGGCACCAACGGCAGGTTTTTTTTCGCTTTTGCCTAGGTCACTAGTTTTTCGAGCAAGGTAACTAGTTGCATGTGATTTGCTCTTTGTTGAATGTATTTTTAGCTGATTTGTGGTATCAAGTTGGGTGATTTCATCAGAATTTGTGTGCTGACTATGAGATCTTTCCTTTTTTATCGTAAGGTTCAAGGTGCAATCCAGGTTCCTGTCGTAAAACCGGTGTGATAGGTTCGCTTTTTGCACGTCTGTCATTATGTCTTGGTATGATATTGGTATGCCTCTAATTGTTATGATTTGAGTTTCTCTATTTTTCTTTATTCCTATTTGTGCTTGATTTACTTCTGCTAAGAGTATATATGCTTGTTCTCCTTCTATTACTGATACTTTGATATAGAATATCAGATCTTCTATTTGGAGTTTAACTCTTATTTTGCCATAGTTTGTTACGTTCATCCCTCCTGGAACTTTTGCAGTTCTAGTTTGTTCTTTGTTAAGTTTGTTTAACAAGTTCCATTCTTTTGCTACATTATAGGGTATTATACTTGCACTTGCTCCTTCATCTATGAGTACTTTTTTAGGTTTGTCGTTTATTTATGCTATAAATTCATATAATTTTTTGCCTTTAGGAAATTCTTGAGCTTTATGTGTTTCTTTTGGAAAGTAGTATTGTTTTAATAAATAAGAGTATTCTGGATTTTCTTGGGCTTGTCGATACATTTCATTTGATAATAATTTGGCAGAATATTTATTATATTGATTGTTTTGCGATTTTTTATTTATTTCATTATTAATACATTGTATATTGTGTATACTTTCTTTAAATGTTATAGTATTATAATATTCTTTAGTACTAAGTAGTTTGTTACTTTGGCCTATTTTCTGTGGGATTTTGTCCTGAGTACTACACAGGTTCCCTAATCGAAATACCGTGTTTTCTTTAACTTTAGTATGATGAACTATTTCTTCATCACTGTTATATTCTTTATTTTCTTCATCATAATGATTTACTTTCCTTTTGTCATTTTTATATGAACTTTTTTCTTTAGATTTGTAATCATTTCTTTTTTTTCTTTCAGAATTATATACTTTTTCTGATTGTTTTTCTTCTTTGTAATTATTAACTCTTTTTCTTGTGAAAGATTTCCTTGTATTATTTTGCGGTCTTCTTCCATTATTTCTATTACTATTATATTGAGGTCTTTCTTTCCCTCTATTGCTTTTGAAGTTGTTGTATTTATGAACCATAGGTGTTGGTCCTTTTGCTCTTTTTCCTTCGTAATAGTTAGCATTATTGTTTGGACATGTTTTGGTATGGTATTCATTATCTTTTCCACAGTATGAACAATATTTTCTGACAAAGGTTTTCCTTTGTTTTCCATTATAGTTTTTGTAAGTTGATTGTACTCTATTATATGCTTCTTTTCCTTTTCGTCTGGGGCATTCTTTTGCAAAGTGTCCTATTTGTCCACATGAGTAGCATTTTCCTTTTTGAGGTTGCTCTGTTTGCACGTTATTTATTTTTTGACTTCTTTGGGAATAATGATTTGTTTTTTCATTTTTGGATTTTTCCATTATATCCATTGTTACTCTTGTTGCTCTGAATAGAGCATCGGCTCTTCTGAAGAAGTCTTCTTCATTATTTGGTACTGGATTTGTTAATGTAATTTGCTGAGCTATATTTTTAGGCATTCTTTCTACTAAATACATGTAGTTTCCTCCAAAGAAGTTTGGGGCCCATTGCCAATTTGACAATTGTTTAAGTTTTTTATATTGGTTGATTTGTTTCCTTAATCCTGAGTCATCACTCCAGTCTAAATTCTTATAAAAATTGAATTTAAGAAATTCTTTTTGGTTTAATGATTGTACTGAGTCTCTTGTGAAGTTTTTATCAAATACGTCTCTAAATCCTTTTTGTTGTGTTGCATCTGTAACATGTGGGTTTATTCTTGTTCCTTCTGCTATTGCTGAAGCATGCCAGTTTCCTGCTGCTTGTAAGTAGTTTATTCCTCTTATTGGATAATTTTCTGCATCTTTTAAATCATTTGTGTTATCCAAGTTGGATCTAAAATAACAATTTATAGTTGATATTTCTGTGTCAAATACTTCTAATGCATCTTTTCTTAATTTTGTTCTTACTATCGCAAATACTGTTTGCATTATTTCGGTACTCCACCTATATTCATTTGCTCTATTTGCTGTTGAGACGTAGTCTCTTCCTCTTAATGTGTATCCCTTTTTAGGTGTTCCAGAGTATCTTCCAAATATAATTAGGTCTCCTAATTTTAATGCTTTGAATGCATTTTCTAATTGATTTCTCCATTCTTTATATTTTTCAATTGCTCCATCAAATTCTGATATTAAGGATGTTAGTCTTTTTAAGTTTTTTGGTGGTTCAAATTCTATTACTGCTGCCATTATTCAGGTAATATAGTTGATAGTTGTCCTTGGTAGGTACACTGAGTATGTTTTAACCAGTTTCTAACGTTGAATGATTTTCTTGAAATAGTTTCTAAGCTTGCTTTAACTTTTGATCTATCTGCCGTTACTAATGAGTATACTAAGTATGTTGTTATTTCTTTGTCAGTTAAGTTTTCTGGATCTACTTTTTCTTCTTCAATGTAGTTGAAGATTTGTTTTCTAAATTCTTTTTTCTTGAGGTTATAGACTCTTTTTGTTTCTTGTATGGGAGTTCTTTTGTTTATTAAATTTCCGTTTAAGTATTTTTCGATTTTTTGATCAAATTCTTTGAGCTTTTTTTGTAATTTTTCTTTATGTTCGTCTGATGGTGGATTTGGATATTTATTAAAATATTCTTGGAAAACTCTTATATATGTTTCGTTTCCAATTTCTCCATAATAACTTATTAATTATTTTTTAGATAAATATGGTGCTTTATCTAATATTTTTTTTATGAACTCTTGTGGTTCGTTATATTGTTTTGCTTTATTTATTAAGTATGGTAACTTATTTATAGGTAAAGTTCCTTGATTGAATTTCTTTTTAAATTCTAAATACACGTATAGGTCTGTTGCTTGTTGTACCGTTAGATTTAGGCTTTTCTTAAGTATTGGTGATACTTCTGTTTTTATTTTAATTTGTTTTGAAATTTCTTCTTCTTTTTTGACTTCTTTTGGTTTTTCTTCCAATACTTTGGTTACTATTCCTTTATAGTTTGTTGTTTTTACTATAAGTTTCTTAAGTTTTTTGACTTTATCTGGGCAGTTCATTTAGTTTCTTCTGATGATTTACCAATGCAGTTACTTCCTTTGCTCTTATAATAGTGTTTGCTATTATAGATATAGTTGTTACTATTGCTATCGATACTATAGTAAGTTGTATAGTTTGGTTAAGATATATGAATAGTTTTTCTGATGCTGCTAATACTATGATGATGTTGTGCATCCAAGTTATTGATACGTTTAGTGTTAATACTGTATGATCACTGGTTATGATCGTTAGAGTATTATCTTGTTGATTATTCACGATTAAGCGTTATTTCATAATGCGTTAATGTTATTAACTATTTGTTGTCTTTCAAATTCTTGTTGTTGAACTTGTAGTTCGTTTTGCTTATTTCTGTATCTACAGATCAGTATAGCTGTGGTTATCGCTACTACTACTGTACTATTATAAATATTACTTCTCCTATAAATGTATCGATTACGGTTGTATCTTGTAGGTATCCTGGTGTTTGTGTTTGAATTATGGATGGTGTCGATGCTGGTGTGAATGTTGCAGTTATGGTACTGATTATTGTACTAAGAACAATTGATGGTGTTATTGATATTTGTATTATTGATATAAATTACTATTGTTAATAGTTTGTTCCAAAAGTTTGGTTGATATATGGTATATTTGGTATAGTTTTTTGTATTGCTTC